GTATATAATGCAAGTAGAAGGTGTTTTTCTTTTTTTTTTTTTTTTTAATTTTTGCTTTAAATATTTGGCTCAGAAAATCTATCTTCTAGCTTTTTCGTCTGCTGGTGTGAAAAAATTGGCGCAGGTTTTTTATTTATATTTATTGACCACAGAAAAAAAAAAGTATGTTTCTGTCTAAAATCCTTATCCTGTATACAGTTGCAAGAAAAAGTTGTATGTTTTTTTTTGCATGAATTGGGCATAAAATGTGCTCTGAAAACGTCATCTAAGTCACAACAATAGAAGAACACAGTCTGCTGAACATAATACTACACAAACATTAGAAGTTGCCATGGTTTAATTGCACATAACATGTAAACATTCACATGCAGTGCAGGGAGGAAAAAGTATGTGAACCTTTGGACTTAATAACTGGTTGACCCTTCTTTGGCAGCAATAACCTCAACCAAACGTTTCCTGTAGTTGCAGATCAGACCTGCACAACGATCTGGAGTAATTTTGGACCACTCCTCTTCACAAAACTGTTTCAGTGTAGCAATATTCTTGGGATGTCTGGTGTGAATCGCTCTCTCTCAAGGTCATGCCACAGCATTTCAATCGGGTTGAGGTCAGGACTCTGACTGGGCCACTCCAGAAGGCGTATTCTGTGCTGTTGCAGCCATTGTTTTGTTGAATTACTTGTATGCTTTGGGTCATTGTCCTGTTGCATCACCCATCCTCTGTGAGCTTCAGTTAGCGGACAGATGGTGGTCGTACGTTTTCCTGCAAAATGTCTTGATAAACTCTGGAATTCATTTTCCCATCGATGACAACAATCCGTCCAGGCCCTGAGGCAGCAAAGCAGCCCCCAAACCATGATGCTCCCTCCACCATGTTTTAAAGTGGGGAGAGGTTTTTGATGTTGGTGTGCTGTGCCTTTTTTTTCCACACATAGTGTTGTGTGTCCTTCCCAAACAACTCAATCTTGGTTTCATCTGTCCACAGTATATTTTGCCAGTAGTGCTGTGAAACATCCAGGTGCTCTTTTGCAAACTTCAAACGTCCTGCAATATTCTTTTTGGACAGCAATGGCTTCCTCCGTGGTGTCCTCCCATGTACTCCATTCTTGTTTAATGTTTTCCTTATTGTAGAGGTGTCAACAAAAATGTTAGCATGTGCCAGAGATTTCTGTAGGTCTTTAGCTGACACTCTGGGATTCTTCTTTACCTCATGCAGCATTCTGCGCTGTGCTCTTGCAGTCATTTTTACAGGACAACCACGCCTAGGGAGAGTAGTAACAGTGCTAAACTTTCTCCATTTGTAGACAGTCTGTCTTACCGTGGACACATGAACATCAGGGCTTTTGGAGATACTTATGTAACCCTTTCCAGCTTCATGCAAGTCAACAATTCTTGATCGTAGGTCTCCTAAGAGCTCTTTTCTGCTAGGCATGGTTCACATCAGACAGTGCTTCTTGAAACCAGTAAACCCAAAACAGGTGTGTGTTTTTTAAGGGCAGGACAGCTGTCAGCAACACATCCAATATCATCACACTGATTGGAGTCAAGGTTGGCTCACTTCTGGCTCCAATTAGCTCTGGGAGAAGTCATTAAGCTAGGGCCTCACATACTTTTTCCTCCCTGCACTGTGAATGTTTACATGTTATGTGCAATTAAACCATGGCAACATCTAATGTTTGTGTAGTATTATGTTCAGCAGACTGTGTTCTTCTATTGTTGTGACTTAGATGACGTTCAGAGCACATTTTATGCCCAATTCATGCAAAACTCCACGTAATCCCAAGGGGTTCACATACTTTTTCTTGCAACTGTATAATGCACGTAGAAGTTGTTTTTTTTTTTTTTTTTTTAATTTTTGCTTTAAATATTTGGCTCAGAAAATCTATCTTCTAGCTTTTTCGTCTGCTGGGGTGAAAAAATTGGCGCAGGTTTTTTTATTTATATTTATTGACCACAGAAAAAAAAAAAAAAGTATGTTTCTGTCTAAAATCCTTATCCTGTATATAATGCACGTAGAAGTTTTTTTTTTTTTTTTTTTAATTTTTTCTTTAAATATTTGGCTCAGAAAATCTATCTTCTAGCTTTTTCGTCTGCTGGTGTGAAAAAATTGGCGCAGGTTTTTTATTTTATATTTATTGGCCACAGAAAAAAAAAAGTATGTTTCTGTCTAAAACCCTTATTCTGTATATAATGCACGTAGAAGGTGTTTTTCTTTTTTTTTTTTTTTTTAATTTTTGCTTTAAATATTTGGCTCAGAAAATCTATCTTCTAGCTTTTTCATCTGCTGGTGTGAAAAAATTGGCGCAGGTTTTTTATTTATATTTATTGACCACAGAAAAAAAAAAAAAGTATGTTTCTGTCTAAAACCCTTATCCTGTCTATAATGCAAGTAGAAGGTGTTTTTCTTTTTTTTTTTTTTTTAATTTTTGCTTTAAATATTTGGCTCAGAAAATCTATCTTCTAGCTTTTTCGTCTGCTGGTGTGAAAAAATTGGCGCAGGTTTTTTATTTTATATTTATTGGCCACAGAAAAAAAAAAGTATGTTTCTGTCTAAAATCCTTATCCTGTATATAATGCAAGTAGAAGGTGTTTTTCTTTTTTTTTTTTTTAATTTTTGCTTTAAATATTTGGCTCAGAAAATCTATCTTCTAGCTTTTTCGTCTGCTGGTGTGAAAAAATTGGCGCAGGTTTTTTATTTATATTTATTGACCACAGAAAAAAAAAAGTATGTTTCTGTCTAAAACCCTTATCCTGTATATAATGCAAGTAGAAGGTTTTTTTTTCTTTTTTTTTTTTTTTTTTAATTTTTGCTTTAAATACTTGGCTCAGAAAATCTATCTTCTAGCTTTTTCGTCTGCTGGTGTGAAAAAATTGGCGCAGGTTTTTTGTTTATATTTATTGACCACAGAAAAAAAAAAGTATGTTTCTGTCTAAAACCCTTATCCTGTCTATAATGCAAGTAGAAGGTGTTTTTCTTTTTTTTTTTTTTTTTTTTTTTTTAATTTTTTCTTTAAATATTTGGCTCAGAAAATCTATCTTCTAGCTTTTTCGTCTGCTGGTGTGAGAAAATTAGCGCAGGTTTTTTATTTATATTTATTGACCGCAGAAAAAAAAAAAAAAAGTATGTTTCTGTCTAAAATCCTTATCCTGTATATAATGCAAGTAGAAGGGTTTTTTTTTTTTTTTTTTTTTTTTTAATTTTTGCTTTAAATATTTGGCTCAGAAAATCTATCTTCTAGCTTTTTCGTCTGCTGGTGTGAAAAAATTGGCGCAGGTTTTTTATTTATATTTATTGACCACAGAAAAAAAAAAGTATGTTTCTGTCTAAAACCCTTATCCTGTATATAATGCACGTAGAAGGTGTTTTTTTTTTTTTTTTTAATTTTTGCTTTAAATATTTGGCTCAGAAAATCTATCTTCTAGCTATTTCGTCTGCTGGTGTGAAGGGAAAAAAAAAAAAAAAAAAAAAGCGCGAGGAAAAGTTTTAGCTATCCTTTAGCACAGCAGGCCCTGGCAACTTTATTCTTAATGAAAAACACTGATGGGTTTAATGCAGCGAACGTTCCCTTGAGCGGTCACCAGGACACCTGACTGTGAAATTGTTCTGTGCCGGCTTGGCGTTCCCGCTTCTGTTAGCGGCGCAGACAGCCCCGAGCAGACGCCTCCGGGCACAGGGTTTGAACGAGATAAGTAAAAGAGATGATCGCTGCTTCTCAAATAGCCATTTCAAGGAAATAGCATCATTCCTGAAGAGCAGGGAACGTTCGTATGGCTAACTCCGATAAGCAGTAACATTGCATTTTTATAATTATACTCAGGATTGTAAATTGATATCGGGCCGCCGCGGTTAGAAATGTGCGGCTGCTGGGAAGGAGCCATCGGGGTGCAAAGTGTTGCTGTAGTCGCGCTCTCTGGAGCTTCCAAGGGCACTTTCTCCGAAACAAAACCTAATGCATTCTAAACAGTAGTGAATTTTTAGTGAGCGCGCATTTTACGTTTTTTTTTTTTTTTTTTTTAAAGTTAACAATAAAAAAATGTTTTGATGCGATTCTCAAACTGGCTTGCGTTTCCATATTATTTGATAGTACAGTATTAATCACTTACCCTCTGGAAGATTTACCCCCCCCCCCCCCCCCCTTGATGACCAGGCCATTTTCTGCGTTACTTTGACAATTTCGTGGTCATGCAACACTGTATGTATATTAAATTTACCGTATTTTTCGCTCCATAAGACGCACCTAGGTTTTAGAGGAAAAAAAAACAAGAAAAAAAATATTCTGAACCTATGGACTGCGGACACGGTACAGGAGATGACCAGAGACTGCGGACACAGTACAGGGGATGACCAGAGACTGCGGACACAGTACAGGGGATGACCAGAGACTGCGGACACGGTACAGGGGATGACCAGAGACTGCGGACACAGTACAGGGGATGACCAGACTGCGGACACAGTACACTGGGGATGACCAGAGACTGCGGACACAGTACAGGAGATGACCAGAGACTGCGGACAGCACAGGGATGACCAGAGACTGTGGACAGCACAGGGATGACCAGAGACTGTGGACAGCACAGGGATGACTAGAGACTGCGGACAGCACAGGGATGACCAGAGACTGCGGACATAGTACAGGGGATGACCAGAGACTGCGGGCACAGTACAGAAGATGACCAGAGACTGCGGACAGTACAGGAGACGACCAGAGACTGCGGACATAGTACAGGAGATGACCAGAGACTGCGGACAGTACAGGAGATGACCAGAGACTGCAGACATAGTACAGGAGATGACCAGGGACTGCAGACATAGTACAGGAGATGACCAGAGACTGCAGACATAGTACAGGAGATGACCAGAGACTGCGGACAGTACAGGAGATGACCAGAGACTGCAGACATAGTACAGGAGATGACCAGAGACTGCAGACACAGTACAGGAGATGACCAGAGACTGCGGACACAGTACAGGGGATGACCAGAGACTGCGGACACAGTACAGGAGATGACCAGAGACTGCAGACACAGTACAGGGGATGACCAGAGACTGCGGACACAGTACAGGAGATGACCAGAGACTGCGGACACAGTACAGGAGATGACCAGAGACTGCGGACACAGTACAGGGGATGACCAGAGACTGCGGACACAGTACAGGAGATGACCAGAGACTGCGGACACAGTACAGGAGATGACCAGAGACTGCGGACACAGTACAGGAGATGACCAGAGACTGCGGACACAGTACAGGAGATGACCAGAGACTGCGGACACAGTACAGGAGATGACCAGAGACTGCGGACACAGTACAGGAGATGACCAGAGACTGCGGACACAGTACAGGAGATGACCAGAGACTGCGGACACAGTACAGGGATGACCAGAGACTACAGACAGTACAGGAGCAGGAGATGACCAGAGACTGCAGACCTTTGGGGAGGGAGGGGGAGCGGGTACCTGAATTTGACAGGTACCCGCTCCCACTTCCGTGGAGTTGTCCTTCCAGAGACTCCCAGCCGGGCGAGAAGCGCTGCGCTTTGTGAATATCCCGGAGCCTTCTGGGACCTGTCATGTGTCTCAGAAGACACCGGACCATTCACAAAGCGAAGCGCATGCGCAGTGGGCACCCGGCTGTCACAGAAGCCGCCGCGGGAAGACTGCAGCGCTGGAGCGAGGAACAGTAAGGTCCTGCAGGAGAGAACTGCTGAGCGGTTGGCCCAATATTCTGACATGGTGGCAGCAGAAATACCGGACCGGCCGCTTTACATTCGCTCCATAAGACCACACACTGACATTTTACTTTTTTTTGGGGAAAAGTGCGCTTAGGGAGACTTGCGAGACATAGTGGTCTTAGGGAGGAAAATGACGGTTTGTCATTTTCCCTCCCACGGACAATTAGAACTTTTTTTGGTGGTATTTGATCACCTCTGCACAATGATAAAAAAAAATAAAAAAAAATTATTTGGGAAAAAAAAAACAATATTTTTTACTTTTTGCTATAAAGCAAATCACAAAACATTTAAAAAATAAAATGTCTTCATAAATTTAGGCCAAAATGTATTCTGCTACGTAAATGAAATTCGTGTCATTTTTTTTCTCAGGCCACGAGAGCGCTTCTTTTGGTGAATATGTGATCACTTCTGCGTTGTTTATTTTTTTGCGCTATGATAAAAAAAAAAACTTCCAAAAAACACCAAACAAATTTTTTTACTTTTTTGCTATAAAGCAAAGCACATTTTAAAAGTATAAACCGGCTTCACAGAATTTAGGCCAAAATGTATTCTGCTACATGGAAATTAAGGATTTACAGGTAAGGTCACTGCATAGAGCTTTCTTTTGAGTGGTTGTGCCACTTCTGCATTGTGACATTTTTGGCACATGATAGAAATACCGGACCGGCCGCTTTACAAAAAAAACACACTGACATTTTCTCCCCTTTTTTTTGGGGAAAAAAAGGGAGCGAAAAATACGGTTTTTTGAATTTATTTATCATTTTCCTCCCACAATATAAAATAAATTTTTTGGTGGTATTTGATCAAATTTAGGCACAATGATAAAAAAAAAACTATTTGAAAAAAAAAAAAAACCCAATATTTTTTACTTTTTTGCTATAAAGCAAATCACAAAACATTTAAAAAAATAAAATCTCTTCATAAATTTAGGCCATTCTGCTACGTAAATTAAATTTATGTCATTTTTTTCTCACACATAGAGCTTTCCTTTGGTGGTATGTATTCACTTCTGCGTTTTTTATTTTTTTGCGCTACGATAGAAAAAAAAAAAAAAAAACAATTTAAAAAAAAAAACCAAACAATATTTTTTAATTTTTTTGCTATAAAGCAAATCACAAAAAATATAAAAATATAAAAAAATTTAAAAAAAAAAATGTCTTTATAAATTTAGGCCAAAATGTATTCTGCTACGTAAATGAAATTTATGTCATTTTTTTCTCACACATAGAGCTTTCTTTTGGTGGTATGTGATCACTTCTGTGTTGTTTATTTTTTGCACTATGATAGAAAAAAAACAAAAAAAGATAATTTTGAAAAAAAAAAAAAACATTTTTGAATTTATTTGCTATAAAACAAATCCAAAAAATATATAAAAAAAAATAAAATATAAAAAAAATTAAAAAAAAATAAAATGTCTTCATAAATTTAGGCCTATGATAAAAAAAAATATTCTGAAAAAAAAAAAAAACACCCAATATTTTTTTACTTTTTTGCTATAAAGCAAATCACAAAACATTTAAAAAAATAAACTCTCTTCATAAATTTAGGCCATTCTGCTACGTAAATGAAATTTATGTCATTTTTTTTCTCACACATAGAGCTTTCCTTTGGTGGTATGTATTCACTTCTGCTTTTTTTTTTATTTTTGGCGCTACGATAGAAAAAAAAAAAAACAAAAAAAGACAATTTTGGAAAAAAAACAATATTTCTGAATTTTTTTGCTATAAAACAAATCCAAAAAATATATAAAAATATAAAAAAATTTAAAAAAATAAAATGTCTTTATAAATTTAGGCCAAAATGTATTCTGCTACGTAAATGAAATTTATGTCATTTTTTTCTCACACATAGAGCTTTCTTTTGGTGGTATGTGATCACTTCTGTGTTGTTTATTTTTTGCACTATGATAGAAAAAAAACAAAAAAAGATAATTTTGAAAAAAAAAAACATTTTTGAATTTATTTGCTATAAAACAAATCCAAAAAATATATAAAAATATAAAATATAAAAAAAATAAAAAAAAATAAAATGTCTTCATAAATTTAGGCCTATGATAAAAAAAAAATATTCTGAAAAAAAAAAACACCCAATATTTTTTACTTTTTTGCTATAAAGCAAATCACAAAACATTTAAAAAAATAAAATCTCTTCATAAATTTAGGCCAAAATGTATTCTGCTACGTAAATGAAATTTATGTCATTTTTTTCTCACACATAGAGCTTTCTTTTTGTGGTATGTGATCACTTCTGCATTTTTTATTTTTGGCGCTATGATAAAAAAAAAAAAAAAAAAAAAAAGACAATTTTGAAAAAAAAAAACAATATTTTTGAATTTTTTGCTATAAAACAAATCCAAAAAATATATAAAAATATTAAAAAAATAAAATTTCTTCATAAATTTAGGCCTAAATGTATTCTGCTACGTCTTTGGTAAAAAAAAGAAAAAAAATTCCCAAAAGGTGTTTATTAATTGGTTTACGGGAAAGTTAGAGCGTCTACAAATGGCGGTATATACACTGGATTCTTTTATTTATTTATTTTTTTATACTAGTAATGGCGGTAATCAGCGACTTTTAGCAGGACTGCGGTAGGCATTCTGACACTGACGGTGGAACTGACTAACTGTCACTGGCCTCTCCGGTGACACTATTACAGTGATCCAGGGGCGGACTGACCATTTGGAAACTCGGGCACTGCCCGAGGGCCCGGGGTCACTAGGGGGCCCCATGAGATGCCCCTGGTACCTTTTTCATAGGCTTTTTTGAGTTTGGGGGCAAGGACAACGGGCCCCATGATCCCCTATTGCCCGGGGGCCCCATGAATTGTCAGTCCGCCCCTGCAGTGATCAGTGCTAATAAAAAGCCCTGACACTGTACTAATGGGCAGGACGGGGCTAACATCTGGGGTGATAAAAGGTTTACAGTGTACTGTATTGTGATTACTGTGTGCTGTTTTACTAGGGGATTTGCTGTTTTTTATTCCCTGCTTTGCTGACAGGAGAGAGATCTGTGTTGTTTACACTCACAGATCACTCCCCTATCAGCTTCAACAAGTCCCAGTAAATCACTGGCCGAGACCTGGTGAATGACATATTCGGGAGCCAATGACAGCGCAGGTAGGGCGGCGTGTGCGCGCACGCCCCCTACCCGGAAATGCAACATCACGTATCTATGTGTGATTTTGCACAGCACGGCCAGCCTGTAGCAGTGCCAACTGTCCCGGATTTGCCAGGACAGTCCCATGTCTTGGCCTTCGGTCCTGCCAACACTGTGCCCCAGAGGTGTCCCTGAGTGCTACCACAGCCTGGAGATGAAGTCAAAGGGAAACATAGTTCCTCTATGGTTTTCTGGGCCAGTGAAGCAGTGTTTCGGTTGGCTAGGCTACAGCCATGTGACCCTTGGTGGCCATCTTGGGTCAGCAGGGGCTACACAAATCCCTGCCCCCTGGTTTTGGTATGCCTTTTTGTGAGTGGTTAGTGTAGGGAGAGATAACTAGTGTCAGGGAAAGGTTCCTGATGAGAAGGGACAGGCTAGGGACTTGTTTTTCTAATAAAAAGGCTCCCCACTTGGGCTGCACTTCACCCTCTGAAACAGACATTGTCGGCATTTCTCTTTAGCCACAGCTTGAACTGCATTGAACTGTGAGATATTTCCCTAAGGGGTGCTCTCCCGCTAGGGCATCTGTAATATTTGCATTCTGATCGATACAAGTTTCAAGTTTATTGCAACCAGACTCTGTATGTCTGGTAGGAACTTTAGGAGGGACCCCACTGTATTTTTTTTTTTTAAGTGGGTGGAGTTCCCCTTTAAACCCATTCCAGGCCCTTTACGCCTGATAGGACTTATAAGGGGAACCCCACCTCCCAAAAATGGGGGGGGAAAGTGCGTGGGGTTCCCCCTAAAAGCCCTATCAGGCCTGGAAGGACTTTTAAGGGGAACCCCACCCCAAAAAATGGGGGGGGGGAGCGTGGGGTCCCGAATAAGTTCCCCCTCCCCCCCTTGCAGCTTATTAGGCCACGTGCCCTCGGCATGGGGATGGGGACAAGGGCCTCTTCCCCACAACCCTGGCCCGGTGGTTATGGGGGTCTGCAGAGAGCGAAGAACCCTGATGCTGCCTCCCCACTTGTGAATTATCCATTCACTAAAGGGTTACATTTAGTAAAAAAATAAAGAGACCAAACTTTTGAAAAATTCCTTAATTTAACAAAAAAAAAAAAAAAAGTTTTTGACAAGTCCTTTATTAAAAAAAAAGCCCCAAAAATTGTTCCATCGTTGTAATCAATCGTCAGTCATGGTGTCCAGCGGTGTCACGATGACCCCGACTTGCCGAAAAAAAAAAAAAAAAAAACCTACATCTGCTGTCCCATCCTCACCCACTGAGCACTCGCTGCAATCTCACATTCAGATGTAAACAATTGGTGACTTCACTACTGGGTTCACCCAATTGTGCTGTTTGGCCTGTGGTCAGGTGCATTGCTTTGGCCAATCACAATGCACTGTGAGAGCGCAATGCATTGTGGGGTGAACCCACAATACCTTTTGTGTACGTGTATCTTAAAAAAGGGCACTTCCCCAGAATAGTAAAATGTTACTATGGTACCATTATACTACTCTGGTCACAGTGTGTTATGAAGAAAAAAATTGAAAATTTTAAAAAAAAAATACTGTCACCAGTCAGTGTCCCTGATCACCGCCACACCAGTTATATGACGATGATGTACTGCACTGGTGACAGTATGTATAAAAAAAGTCAAATTTTTTTCTTTAATTTCTTCATTTTACAAAAAATTACAACTTCAAAAAACTCGCCATGTCTCCTTACTAAATACCTTGGACTGTCTACTTTGCAAAAAGGGGTCATTTGGGGGATAACTGTACTGTTCTGACATTTGGGGGATATTTGTACTGTCTGACATTTGGGGGATATCTGTACTGTCCTGACATTTGGAGGATATCTGTACTGTCCTGACATTTGGGGGATATCTGTACTGTCCTGACATTTGGGGGATATCTGTACTGTCCTGACATTTGGGGATATCTGTACTGTCCTGATATTTGGGGGATATATGTACTGTCCTGATATTTGGGGGATATCTGTACTGTTCTGACATTTGGGGGATATCTGTACTGTTCTTACATTTGGGGGATATCTGTACTGTCCTTACATTTGGGGGATATCTGTACTGTCCTTACATTTGGGGGATATCTGTACTGTCCTGACATTTGGGGGATATCTGTACTGTCCTGACATTTGGGGGATATCTGTACTGTCCTGACATTTGGGGGATATCTGTACCGCGCTGACATTTGGGGGATATCTGTACTGTCCTGACATTTGGGGGATATCTGTACTGTTCTGACATTTGGGGGATATCTTTTCTGTCCTGACATTTGGGGGATATCTGTACTGTCCTGACATTTGGGGGGATATCTGTACTGTTCTTACATTTGGGGGATATCTGTACTGTCCTTACATTTGGGGGATATCTGTACTGTTCTGACATTTGGGGGATATCTGTACCGTTCTTACATTTGGGGGATATCTGTACCGTTCTGACATTTGGGGGATATCTGTACTGTCCTGACATTTGGGGGATATCTGTACTGTCCTGACATTTGGGGGATATCTGTACTGTTCTGACATTTGGGGGATTTCTGTTCTGTCCTGACACTTGGGGGATATCTGTACTGTCCTGACATTTGGGGTATATCTGTACTGTTCTGACATTTGGGGGTATTCTGTACTGTCCTGACATTTAGGGGATATCTGTACTGTCCTGACATTTGGGGGATATCTGTACTGTCCTGATATTTGGGGGATATCTGTACTTTTCTGACATTTGGGGGGATATCTGTACTGTCCTGACATTTGGGGGATATCTGTCCTGTTCTGACATTTGGGGGATATCTGTACTCTCCTGACATTTGGGGGATATCTGTACCGTCCTGATATTTGGGGGATATCTGTACTGTTCTGACATTTGGGGGGATATCTGTACTGTCCTGACATTTGGGGGATGTCTGTACTGTCCTGACATTTGGGGGATGTCTGTACTGTCCTGACATTTGGAGGATATCTGTACTGTCCTGACATTTGGGGGATATCTGTCCTGTTCTGACATTTGGGGGATGTCCGTACTGTCCTGACATTTGGGGGATATCTGTACTGCCCTGACATTTGGGGGGATATCTGTACTGTCCTGACATTTGGGGGATATCTGTACTGTTCTGACATTTGGGGGATGTCCGTACTGTCCTGACATTTGGGGGATATCTGTACTGTTCTGACATTTGGGGGATATCTGTACTGTCCTGACATTTGGGGGATATCTGTACTGTCCTGACATTTGGGGGATATCTGTACTGTCCTGACATTTGCGGGATATCTGTACTGTTCTGACATTTCTGGGCCTCAAGAAATTAGATCGGCTGTCAGTACATCAGGACTGATCGATTTTCAGATATATTCCATAGTTTGCGGCTTCTATAACTTTCCTACAGACTAAATAATAAATACTGATTTGGGTTATTGCCACCAAAGAAATGTAGCAGAATACATCATGACCTAAATTTATGAAGAACAATTATTAATTTGCAAACTTTTATAACAGAAACAAAGAAAAAACGTGTTGTTTTTTCAACATTTTCAGGCTTTTTTCGTTAATTTATTAAAAATTTTATTTAATTATAAAATACAGTATATGTATAATGTATACTACAAAAAAAAATGCCATGTGCCCCCAAAGTGTTTGAGTTTGGTTTGATCAAAAGGTGGCAACCCTAATTCCACAGAGAAGCACAGTGATGATGTCACTGGGTCTAAAATTAGATATGTAATGAAAATAGAAAGGCTTTGCTTGAACATTTTATCAAGATGTTGATGAGAGAGAGGAACCAGGGAAGGCAAAATATCACTGAAGTATAGCACTGAGAGTTACTTCTGTGGCAAAAAAACTGTGCACCAAATCTAAGACCAATCAGTACCAGTGCTCAAACTATAACACCAAAACTCCTAATTCTTATCTCCGGGGTATAGATGATGTGTTCCCTGCTTTAGAACATATTCCTAAATGCGAGACCCAATGTGGCACTATATTGCCAAAAGTATTGGGCCCACCCTCCAAATCATGTGATTCAGGTGTTCCAATCCCCTCCATGGACACAGATATATATAATCAAGCCCCTATGCATGCAAACTGCTTCTACAAACATTGGTGAAAGAATGGGTCGCTCTCAGGAGCTCAGTGACTCCAAGCGTGGTCCCGTGATAGGTTGTCACCTGTGCAATAAGTCCATCCGTGACATTTCCTGGCTACTAAATATTCCACAGTGAGCTGTTAGTGGGATTATAACAAAGTGGAAGCAACTGGGAACAACAGCAACTCAGCCACCAAGTGGTAGGCCACGTCACATGACAGCGCGGGGTCAGCGCATGCTGAAGCGCACAGTGCGCAGAAGTCACCAACTGTCTGCAGAGTCAATAGCTGAAGACCTCCAAACTTGGTGTGCCCTTCAGATTAGCACAACAACAGTACGTAGAGAGCTCCATGGAATGGGTCTCCATGGCCGAGCAGCTGCATTCAAGCCTTCCATCACCAAGTGCAATGCAAAGCGTTGAATGCCGTGGTGTAAAGCACGCCGCCACTGGACTCTGGAGCAGTGGAGACGTGTTCTCTGGAGTGACCAATCACGCTTCTCTGTCTGGCAATCCGATGGCACGTGTCTGGGATGCCAGGAGAATGGTACTTGTCTGACTGCATTGTGCCAAGTGTAAAGTTTGGTGGAGGGGGATTATGGTGTGGGGTTGTTTTTCAGTGGTTGGGCTTGGCCCCCTAGTTCCAGTGAAGGGAACTCTTAAGGTGTCAGTATACCAAAACATTTTGGACAATTTCATGCTCCCAACTTTGTGGGAAGAGTTTGGGGATGGCCCCTTCCTGTTCCAACATGACCAATGCACAAAGCAAGGTCCATAAAGACATGAGTTTGGGGTGGAGGAACTTGACTGTCCTGCACAGAGTCCTGACCTCAACCCAACAGAACACCTTTGGGATGAATTAGAGCGAAGACTGTGAGCCAGGCCTCCTCCCCCGACATCAGTGCCTGACCTGACAAATGTGCTTCTGGAAGAATGGTCCAACCTTCCCATAGACACCCTCCTAAACCTTGTGGACGGCCTTCCCAGAAGAATTGAAGCCAACTCAATATTGAACCCTATGGACTAAGCCTGGGGGGCCATTAAAGGTCATGTGCGTGGAAAGGCCGGCCGACCAATACTTTGGGCAATATAGTGTATATAGACAGTACTGCTGTCACAAAGATTACACTATGGCCACTTATTCCAGAACAGTACCAACGCAGACCCTGCGGATTATTGATCTCTGCCTCCACGTGATAGAACCCGTTTCATCGTTATTGAGTAAACACCTTCATCAAATGGCACCGAATGAGCTCCTCTCTCTTTCTGCACTAAAATATTATCTGAATTCTCATTGAAGCCATTTTCAATGTTTAAATAAAGACCCGACGCGAACGCTGTGTTCTCAGCACCACCCAGTGGATTGATGCGGCTGGTGCAATGTAAGGCTGCTTTCTCTTCTTTTTTTTTCCTTCTCCGTTTTATAGATAACTAGATTTATATCTATGGATTACAAGGCAGCATTAGGCTTGCCAAGGCAGCAATGAAATGCACACAATAAAAAAGAGCGTCTCGCGGAAGAGAATAAGTCAAATCTTCGTGTTGCTTCAGGAAAAATTAAACGCATACAAGCATTACGGAAAAACAATATTGCTATAAAGGAACAGTAAGCAGAACAGACAAAAAAAAAAAAAAAAAAGAAAAAGAGAATTTTATGAATGATCTATTTTTTTAATAGTCACAAATGTGTACTTAAAGGGAACCTTTGCTTTGCCCCGGCAGGGAAAAGCAACAGAAAACCCGATCAGGAAAATATACTATAAGTTTCATTCACATGGGTGTCTAAAAAGCTGCATTTAGATTCTTATAGCATAGTTTTATATGCATCTAAATGTAGCATTTTAGGATTCAATGGGGCCATACACACAGCTGTGTCTACAAACGAAAATGTGCGCGGCGTAAAAAAATAAACTAGGGCACAGCTGCGTCCAAGGCTATACATATATGTAGATTTTACGCATGTAAATGCATGTAATCACATGTAAATTATTATTATTATTATAATACAGGATTTATATAGCGCCAACAGTTTGCTCAGCGCTTTACAATATAAGGGAGACAATACAATTACAATACATTTCAGTACAGAAGGAACGTGAGGGCCCGGCTCGTAGAGCTTACAATCTAAAGATCACATGTAAATGCATGTAATCATAAATGCATGTAATCACATGTAAATGCATGTAAACGTGTATAGCATACACACTTAAAGTCATCCGAAGAATCTACACGCCTAAACGTAATTACTTTAGGTGTGTATTTTACGCAGGATCTTCTGCTCGCTCTGTCAGCAAGAACCTGCGTCCCTTGTAGAAAATACATAAATGTTTGAATGAAGCCTAAAATTTAGCATGAGTGAAGGAGTGGGGGCACGGACCTGGATATACAGACAATGTGCATTTAGATCTGTGCTCCTGCACGCATGTCAAATTTTAACACTTCTGTAGGCTGTCTGCATGCAGCATGGGGAGGATGCAGGCGCAATAACAGTCTGCATCAGGGGCGGACTGACAACTCATGGGGGCCCCCGGGCAATAGGGGATCATGGGGCCCCTGTGTCCTTGCCCAAACTCCAAAAAGACTATGAAAAAGGTACCAGGGGCATCTCATGGGGCCCCCTACTGACCCCGGGCCCTCGGGCAGTGCCAGAGTTTCCAAATGGTCAGTCCGCCCCTGGTCTGCATGCAGGACAGGTGTCAGCGCCCATATCAACGAAGCCTAAGCCATTTTAAGAAAAGTGTCTAAACTCTGGACGCATCTAAACATGAGTACTTTAGGCGTGTATTTTATGCAGAATCTTCTGCTAGCTCTACCAGCAAGAACCTGCACCACGAGCAGAAAATACACATATGGCTGTGTAAAAAAAGCCTAAACGTTAAACTTCAGGCTCAACTCCCAATTGTCGCCCCAAAGAATAGCTGCAATTCAGGGGATCGCAGCTATTCTCTGCTCATTCACAGTTTATGACACTCAGGAGATCAGCGGAGAACTGTTCAGCTCTTCACTGGAGATCTGTGTTCTCCCTCCAGATTCTCCAGCCCAGAGCTGGAGAATCGGAGGGACAGCAAACTAAGGTGTCCGTTTATGAACCAGCAGTAATAGATCGCTGCTCAGTTCTCTGGAATTCTCGGAGAACACAGTTCTCCTGTGAATGCCGTTTATGAAGCATATGTAGATCAGTTCTCCAAACGAAGGGAGAACGGTTTCCAAACGCTGGAGAACGGTCTACAAACGCTGGGAAACGGCTGATTTTACTATAATCTCGCGAGATTACAGTTAAAAAATCCTTTTTACTAAGAAGAGGTAAATTATCTCTGCTTAGTTTGCGGTCCCTCTGATTCTCCAGCTCTGGGCTGGAGAATCTGGAGGGAGAACACAGATCTCCAGTGAAGAGCTGAACAGTTCTCCTGGGTGTCATAAACTGTGAATGACCAGAGAATAGCTGTGATCCTCTGAATCGCAGCTATTCTGTGTGTCATAAATGGACACCAATGCAGCGATAATTTATCTCTGCTTAGTAAACTATACTTTTACTGTAATATCACGAGATTATAGTAAAATGAGCCGTTTTCCAATGTTTGGAGACCGTTCTCCAGCGTTTGGAGACCGTTCTCCCTTCGTTTGAAGAACTGCTTCATAAAAGGCATTCACAGGAGAACTGTGTTCTCTGAGAATGCCGGAGAACTGAGCAGCGATCATTTACCGCTGGTTCATAAAGGGACACCAAAGTATGCTATACTTTCTTTTTTTTATATATTATTATTATAGGAATCATAATAAAAATTATTATACATTATATACATAAACATTTAAAATTCTATAATATAAATTATTATAACATATATAATAAAATAAATATAAAATAATATACAGTATAAAATTATGAATATAAAAATGAATATAAAAATGATAATGATATTATGATAAATTATATATTATTATTATTATACAGGATTTATATAGCACCAACAGTTTGCACAGCGCTTTACAAAATGAAGGCAGACATTACAGTTACAATACAATTTGGTAGAAGAGGAAACAGAGGACCCTGCCCATTAGAGCTTACAACCTAGGAGGAGTGATACAAAAGGTAATAGCTGTGGGAGGGGATGAGCTGATGGAGGAAATAAATTGCGGTACTAGGTAGATGCAGGATATACTTACTTCTTTAAAGAGAAAGGTTTTCAGGGATCGTCTAAAGGTGGATAGATTAGGAGACAGTCGGACAGATTGGGTTAGGGAGTTCAATCATAGGGTGGGAGAAGCTCGGGTGAAAGTCCTGGAGGCGAGCATAAGGGGGGGGAGGTGACACGGGAACTAGAGAGCAGAAGGTCTTGGGAGGATCGAAGAGAATCTTTTTTGGTTGATATTTTGAGACCAGGTCGGTGATGCAGCTACGGGGGCACAGTTGTGGATGGCTTTGTAATATTCAATCGGATGTTTTAAAATCATATATATATATGCCTCTATATTATATATATATATATATATATTTACAGTATATATATATATATATATGTATAGATATAGATAGATATATAAATATATTATATATAATATATATTATTATTATTATTATACAGGAATTTATATAGCGCCAACAGTTTGCTCAGCGCTTTACAATATAATGGGAGACAATACAGCAAACAATACAATTCAATACAAAGGGATATATATATAAAATATATATAAATATATATATGTATAATTAATAAAAATATATAAAAAAATGCTAAAATTATTTATAAAAAAAAAATTATGTATTATACATTATTTATTACAATAACAAAAAAAATGATATATAAAATTTTATGAAAAAAAAAAATTATTGTATATAAAATATAAAATTAAATATAATATATATATATAAATATATATATATATATATATATAATATATAAAATAAATATTATTATTATTATTAATTTAAAAATAATAATTTAAAAAAAATAATAATAAATTTTTTTTTATTATTATTTGCCCATTATAAAAAAAAAACCCTGCAAGACGAAAAAGACATCAATGGTCATTTTTTGCTGAAAAAAAATGCTGAGAATTAAAAAATAAATAAAACTTAAAGCAGTAAAAAATGAAATTAAAAAAAAAAATTGCTGACAGACAACATTGATGACAAAGAGAGGGCTTAACTAAATTTTGCAACTGGAGAGGCACAATGTCTAGCCTGCTAGACCATTAAAAAAATTAATTCTTCTCCCGAAACCCTGTGGGGCAGGGCCGACTCACCCAGTGCACATGGGGCCTTTAGCTCTCTGTAAACTGTGTACAGGTGCCTCTCGGTCCCATGATATGTACACCTGCTCAGGATTTAAAAACACTTTGAAGGAGAAACCTCATTGCAGTGTCCTGTTCCA